CGATAATCATAATATCTTGACGTGCAATCGCCTATAATGCTTGCATAAAAAATGGGAACGTTGAGCCAGCGCAGGATCTCAACTTCTTCAGAGCACAACCCCCACGAGAATAAAATAAAGAGAAAATGTTTTCCGAAACCTCTGTTTGGTGTTGTTGTGGACTCGCGTCGCGTCGATCGAAGCGCGTCACGTTTGCGCCACGCCTCCCAACACTTCCATTCTTTTTCTTCTCCGACCTCTGCCTCAAAATGATGCAAATGTTCGAGCAATTCGGCCTCATTCCCTTGGGATCCAACTACTCAGAGCCCGTGAAAACCTATACTCTCGAGGAACAGACCGCCCTCGCCTCTAAAACTTCCCGTAAAGTTCGCGCCTTTTTGCACGGCGCATACAAGTTTGAGGCGCGGTACGCAGACTACCCCGGCGAGCGAGATGTGATCGAGTCTGGCGGCGTGGTGTTGACGGGGGCTCAGTTGAATGAAGGGACGAAGTACTATGTATTGTGGGACTTCGAGGGCGAGTCGGGAAAAGACTGCTGGAAGTTTCGGGGTGGAGATGGGTTTGCTTGCGCCGTCTGCGACATGGAGGACTCGATGGCGGACGATCCGAATATTTGGACGCCGGCGAGTGTGCTCCAAATGGCTGCCTCCGAGTGGGCTCAGTCGTTCTACGATGTGAGTGTTGGAAAGTGCGTGCTGGGCTCAGACTCACTATATTTTTTTCATTAGATGGCTGCAAATTACGAGACTTATGGCGGGAACTCAGTCTATCTGTTTCCACCCCAGGATGCTGAACGAGTTTTTAGGCAGTGTTGTGAAACCGGCGGACCCTCGTCCTGAGTAGGCGCCTGCGTTGAGATATGGTTACTCTCTCGAGCTTATTTTATGTCTCCAGACACGATCCAGACCACGAGAATTACGAGCCCAATTGGACCCCCATGGTTGCAGGAAAGTGGAATCCTATCTTCGAGCGTCTCCGGGTAAGTCGTTCTGCATCAACCATTCTGCACGCTGAGCAGCTGAGCTTTTCAAGACGGACGAACACGATGTGGAATGCATGTTCGTACACACGAGGCAGGGCTGCCTCGCCCCCGCAGGAACCTGCCCATTCAAACACACGCCCAAGAGCGCCCAACTGTTTTCCGACGGCGGTGTTCATCGTATCTCGCCAGAGGATGCGCACAGATTTTACATGGACTCGGATTCGGATTGAGTTTTGTGTTCTAACTTCTCCGTGTGTTAATTGTTTTCTTCTTGGTGCGACCTGTTCTCTTCGCAATTATTTGGCCCGCTCGTGGGTTCCATGAACGAATGTATATCCCTGCTCTTGACTCCTCTATCCCCAGACGTGACTACGTGAGTCTAATTCAAGAGGAACTCCAGTTCTTAGATTGTACGCCTGCCTCTCAGATGCAGGGCAATTTCTTGGACGAGGTAGGAATCTGCGGGAACGCCCGGGCCTCTTATTTGTCGCAAGCAACCGCCGTTCTCGTGCCCATTAGGTTTCGCGGTCTGTGGACGCTCGGCGATTATGATTCTGACGCGACTGCTGACCGCCGAACCATTACCGACAAACTGAAGTATATAACTGTCTGTGCGCTCTCGGCCGATGGGCCTGCCTCTTCTCTCCTTTCTTCCCCCTTTTTTTTTTGTTCTTTCTTGTCCTCGTAATCTGTCACACTCACATCCACGTGAGGTTACACCTCGCGTTTTCGGAACGCACACCGAACTCCACGTGTTCTCAAGCTCTTTGTACTCGACACTCATCTCCTACGCAAGACTTTGAACGATCCAGTGGCAATGGTCAGTCCTCAGAAACCCCAACTCATCCTCCTCTAACTTGTGGCTTGGCATAGACGCACCATACAATCTTAACTCCCAAGGCCGAACATGACGAGGAAGCGTCTTTGGACTTACCCGCTTATTCAGGGGCCGAGAATCTCAAGCGTGTCGATGACCTCTGGTTTGAGGATGATACTCTGATTCTGCGAGCAGAGGATAGCATCTTTCGGGTCTCGAAAGGCGTCTTGATGGCGCGCTCCCATGTCCTCAAGACGCTGATTTGTGGCCTCGCCCAGGGAAACCCAGCAACGCTGGACGACTGCCCGGTGGTTCAGCTCGATCACTCTTCGGAGGACGTGACGTCCTTTTTGAAGGCCATATTTGACTCAGAGTGTGTTTACTCCTTTGCCACCCGAATACTCTTATTAAGCCTGCTCTAGTTTCTTTCTGCCTCCTCCAGCAAAGGCACCTTTTACCGTCGTGATTGGGGTTCTCCGCCTCGCACACGCGTACGACGTCAAATATCTTTTCAGGCGCGCGCTGCTCCATCTTGAGGGGTTCTTCCCCAGTACCCTCGATGGGGAGCATGTCTACGCCGAAGTCACCGAGTCCAACGAATTCCTGTCCTGCACTCTCCTCGCTCTGCGCGCTGCCCTCGATGTTGGGGCCCTCTGGAACATCCCAAGCATCATGTACGAGTGCTGCGCCTTCACCCTGGCCGAAATCTTGGACGACGCGCGCCGTAGAGATCTCCCAGGCGTGAACGAGCGCGCGCTCATTCTGTCCCATTCTAAACAGGCCGCGCTCGGCACCTCCTTTGTCACCAACTTCCTCTATGCCGAGCCCTCCGGCCGCTGCAGATCCGCCGCAAAATGCAATGTCGGCAAGCTCGTGTGGCTCGAAAAAGTCGACGGTTGGCGCAAGGAAGGACGCGATTCGGTCCCTCTCGAGTTTTGGGACGAGAGCGATTGGGAGGACATGAAGCCCGATTTCTGTCAAGGCTGTTTGGCGAGTTTTCAGGAGTCCTATGCACGCGGAAGGAAGATGTTCTGGGAGGAATTGCCAACCACTTTCGGTCTCCCCGCTTGGGAAGAACTGAACAAGGCGAAGGTTGAGATGTTTACTGGAAGTGGATGATGGTAGATACATACATGTGGGCCCCAGGATCGGTGTACTATTTCTCCGACTTTCGCCGATCTTTCCGGCGGAACGTGTGAAGGTGGATTCGCGATTACGGCCGTAGTTGTGAGCGCAGCGAAGCAATTTTACCTTGACATGGGACGAGGATGGAGGATGGAATAGGCGGTAAACAGATCCACATTCATGCCCGAGTGGCTGACATTCCCTGCCAAAGAAGTGCTTCAAATCCATTCAATTTTGGGTGGATCTCTCCAAGAAAGCATAGTCCTCTTGGGTGGCGTTCGAATGATACTCAAATCAGCAGGTTCGAGGAAGTTCAAAAAAATCGAAAATCGAGGAGAATTATGTCAGGTCTTGTTTACGCAATTGCTGCTGCGCGAGCACCCTTCACCTCAGCGGATTCATATTATGATGTACATGTGGCCCATTTACTGCAAATCGTACGGACTGTCGGTTGGATCACTCATTTTCAGTGTTTTCGATGACCTCGGGCATCTCGGGCATGTTGAAACAGGCCACACGTCACTTCTGACGAGTGGAATGAGCCAAGCTGCTTGTAAGTCGGTCTAAGCCATTTAACAAGCTTCAGTGAACCGTTTAGATAAGGATTGCATTGAGCTGTGCTTGTTGTAAATTCAAACATCGATTTTTCCGCACCAGGCCTCCATCATCGACAAACCTGACAGACGTCTCCGCGGCCCCAGTGCGTTCGGAGTGCGCTAATACCGAGTTTCCTCTCTCAAGTAGGACAGATTGAATGGCTTTGAGTGGAGATTACCTATCGATAGACCTGGTTCAGTAATTCATGCGTCCAATGCGCAAAAATAACTATTTTCCGAGGGGTTGAGTTGGTAGTGAACAAACTTGGTAGGCTCAACGGAGTTTCTGAGTTATTCCTCCGATCCCAATTTAGGGCCAATTGAAGGAGAGGTACATATTTCCGCCCTGAACTGTGGCGCCGCAATGTAGTTGTTGGAAGTACGGTGGTTCCATGGAGATCGCCAGTGGTTCGGTTACCCGCTTAAGCACACCATCATTATGCCCGGCTGAGGACATCCCCGAAACCAGTAGATTAGCTACATAACAAACGAAGCTGAAACTACGTCCGAAACTATCAGAATCAGCCCGACGAAAACGTTACTGAAACCTAAGATATCAGGAACAATTTCGACCGGGCTAATCATTTTTCTACGCACAATTTGGCAAACCGTGAGATAAACATACTTTATTTTCCTGACCTAAACACTCACGCAAAATCCTCTGTGTTTGGTGCAGAAAAATTGTTCCCTTTGAGGCCCAAACAGCATGGGAACTTGGCTGTTTGGAGCCCAAAGAGCACAAGGCCAAACCGAAGATACGTTTGTAGTCCATGTTTCAGGCCCGAAATCCATTAGTCACAGGAGTGAAGGCAAATTCAAGTTGGCGCAATCACACAACTATTCCTCTCCGCCACTACGCACACCGTTCTGGCAGTGTTTAGCACATATCTCTGGTGCTTCGCCACCTCGACCCGCAATATCATTCAAGAAAGCGACACAGGTGCTGCACCGTGTGACCGGGTGTTCCTACATGACTTTGGGTTATGCGGGAAGAGATATTGGTCCTGGTTGAATTTTCATTGTAGAGAGCGAGGCTGGTTCCCCGTCGAGTCCGCTAGCTGATGTGGCTTCAGGAGACTGTTCTTTCAGTATTGGGTTCACTATTAGAAGAATGAATATGAAGGGCAAAGTAATGGGAAAGAACTATCACAGGAAAATCCAATCACCCCACCCCGAGTGGAATGGGGAGCCCTGCATGAAAGTCTGGAACTAGCTTTCAAGAAAGCGACGCAGGTGCATGCTGTGTGCGACCGGGTGTTCTATGCCTTTGGTTTGTGGGTCACCTTATGGCACAATAGTACTTGCTTGGCTTGGATTGATGGTTGAACCAAGGCAGAGAACAGTCGTCGTGGAACAGCTCAACGTTGCGAAGCGGTTCAACAAAGTTGGAGGGATTACACCCGCGTGGTGTCGGATCAGAAGAAGACTGTGTAGGAGAACCATCCAAAAAAAAAGAAAAAGATAGAAGGCCAACAATGAATCACCCGACCCCGAGTCGAACGGGGGTCTCCTGCTTGAGACTTACTCACTTACAATCTCGACATCAAAGTGGGGCAGGTGCACACCGTGTGCGACCGGGTGGTCTCCGTCCTTGCTTTGTAGGTAAAGTTATGTGATTGAGCGTTGAAGTTGTTGGTTGAATTCAGTATCGTCCTGAAGTACTAATCAAGAGGGGTATATTACGAAAATAAGGATGCGGAGGCGAAAGGCATAAACGACGAAAAAAAAATTGATGGTAAGGAACCAGCGCATCACCCGACCCCGAGTCGAACGGGGGTCTCCTGCTTGAGACTCAATCTTGATGTCAAAGTGGGGCAGGTGCACACCGTGTGCGACCGGGTGTCCTCTTTCCTCGTTTCGTGGCTGTATTTATGTGAGCATAAGGTTGCGCCTGAAAAGCTCGCAGCTGCAGAGTTAATTACATGTAAGTTGCGGGGTTGAGCTGAGTCGGAGTATCATGAAGTGCTATTGCGCGAGCGTTGTACCACCAAGATTCGGTGCGCGGCGGAATCCAACAACGCCAGGGGAAAAACGCGACGGTGCCAGATCCTCTATGACCCGCCCTGAGTCGAACGGGGGGTCTCCTGCATTAATTCGCATGATGGCCTGGTCAATCGAATGCAGGTGCACACCATGTGCCTCAGGTGTTCTCTACCTCCTTGAATGACTTGGTTTATGCGAGCGAAAGTAGCAGCTAGCCGTGATTGAATTTGATCTGAGTGAAGTTGGTGGACGGTCGAGTAAGTTTGCCGAGGGCCGATGTGCCTCCCGGAGAAATTTAGTTGCAGTGTTGGTCCGGAGAGGATTGCGACAGTGGTGTGTTGTATTACGAAAATAAGGATGGGGAAGGGAAAGCAACGAAAAAAAAACAAAAAAGAGATTCTAACCAAAGTGCATCACCCGGCCCCGAGTCGAACGGGGGTCTCCTGCATGAAATTTCTGCATTACGTGGGTAATTGAGGCAGGTGCACACCGTGTGCGACCGGGTGGTCTCCGTCCTTGCTTTGTGGTTGAACTTATGTGATTGAGCGTTGGAGGTTGATTGAAGGCAATGTCATCCTAAAGTACTAGTCAAGTCGAGCTGATTTGAGTTCCTTGAATTCTTGAGGGTTGGGTGAGCTAGGTAGCAGGAATTTTTGAGCAGTTGCGGGGAGGATTGGAAGACTCCGACTGAGAAATAAAGGACTTCGACGAGGAGGTTCCTACATGACTTTTGGACTTGATGAGACTGAGGTTGGGTTGACATTGAGGATTGAAAGATCGCTCTGCCGAGACTTGTAGTACATACCCGAGAAATCGCCAGCCGTCGCCAGTGCTCCCCGTAGACTGACTTCTGAACACACTCACCGATTTCTCGAATATCGATCGTGCATCGGCGTCCCGGGCCCCGGGGAATAGGCCAGCGAGAGTCCAGACACAGTGACGTCGAAGAGCGGTCAAAGCCGGCCGCAGGAATCCGCAGTCCAACTCCGAGCTCGGTGGTAGGTGGGTAAGTGGGAGGATACGTGTATTTGAGCCTTCCCGGCGGGCACAAACCGACAGAAAAAGTTAAAGCCGACTTGAAGACTCTTGAAACACGCTGTCCCCAACGAAATTTTGGTGAATTTAGCGCAGAAAATAGACCACGGTGAAGTAGAAGCGCTCCCAGATCATCCAGGTTGCATCCAGGCAACGCGTTGATGACAGCGGGAGCAAGGGAACACCGCCTCCGAAAAAGGCAACTGATTGACAGCGCGGCTCTGCACCGCCACACGAACACTCTTGGCTTTCTTGCACCCAACTCGGCTTCGCGTTGAAATGCACTCGGCGCCGCGGTACCTGCTCGTCGTCCTCGCCGTCGTTATCAGCGGCCACTACCTCCTCAGCGTCACCACCACCTCCTACCCCCGCTTCCTCGCCTCCTCCTACAACGCCGCCGGCCCAAATCCAAACGCCAAAAACAACGTCCCGGATGCATATTACTACTCCCAAATCATAAACTCCACCCATACCCTCGAATTGGCCGAGAGGAAGAGGGCGAATGCGACGTTTGTGATATTGGCGCGGAATTCGGATTTGGACTCGACGGTGCGCAGTGTGCGCGAGGTGGAGGATCGGTTTAATAGAAGGCACGGGTACCCGTTTGTGCTGTTGAATGACGAGCCGTTTACGGAGGAGTTCAAGAGGTGCGTGCGGCGGCGTGCTGTCTGCCTTTATTAATTGTGGAATTATTTTGGCCAGACGACTAAACGCGGTGGCCTCGGGCGAGGTGTTCTATGGGCAGGTGCCAAGAGAGCATTGGTATGTCCTAGCTTCCTCTCCTTCATCTACTTGCTCATGGATATCTACTGCAGGGTCCAACCAGACTGGATCGACGAAGACCGCGCGACAAAGGGCCGCGAGCAGCTCGTCGCTGACAACGTCATCTACGGCGGCAGTGTGAGCTATCGCAATATGTGTCGTTTCAATTCGGGGTGCGTATTATTTATATGGATTTTTTCGGTTGGGGAGCGAGTGTGGACAGGGCAGGGAGAAAGAGTGCGGTGGTATCCACAACGGGCGAGCAGAGGGCCGAGTGGTGCGACGTGACTCGCGCGCCTATCCTTCGTGCCTGTGTGCGCCCGGGGTTCATGTACACGTCGCACTGCCCTCAGGCTCGGGGGACGCCTGCGTTGGGCGCCGAGTGCGAGTGCGGTGGGGATGCCGCCTTTCGTCCTGCAGCTGCAGCTGCGTGCGGAGGGTGGAGTGTGTGTGGTGGATGGTGGATGGCGGCTCGTCTAACGCGCGCCCGCCTACCACAGCTGACGGGCATCCAACGTGAAAGAAGGCGGGACAGGGCCGTTTGCGTCGCCTGCAGAGCAGGCCGCGCGTACGCATACACGCCGCTCGAGGCTAGCGGTCAAGTGCCCGACGCACGCCCCTTCTCCCGCCTTTCATCTCTCATCTTCCATTTTTTTGTTGGGGGGAGATTCGTTTGGTACCGCCGGGCGAGCAGAGGACGTGCTGCGGGCGACGCCCGACGCCGTGCACTAGGTCACGGGCATCGTATGTGTATGCGACACCACGTTATATATCCGAGCGCCAGAGCGGAGGAGCGCGCGCGTGCTGCGGGCGAGGCGTGCCGCGTTTGCGTTGACACTCACACAGCGCCCGCCCGAGACGCGTGTGCACCACTCGTTTTGCGTCGCGCACTGCGGAACAGCCGACCACGCAGTTTGGATGGGCGGGTAGCGCGGTATCTCTTCGCACCCGCGCGTGCTTCCCGCGTCTCGCTTCCCGCACCCACGGGGGTCGTGGGTCGTCGGTTTCCGTGGGCAGCAAGCGAGACGGGCAACTGCGAGAGGCATGCCGCTTTTTTTTGGGACACCCGCTCACTCGGCGGCGTTGGCATGGGCGCCGAGTCCGTCACATGCAGGATGGGATGGCGCGCGTCTCTCGAGACGTCGTTTTCGTCTCGTTTTATATTTATATTCCCATCGCTCCCCTCCCTTGTTTCTCTCTTCCCTGGCTTTTACTTTCTTCTCCCCTGCCCTCCTCTACTTTATCAACCCACGTCGCCCTCCCATCTAACATACATTTTTCCCTCTTTGTCTTATTTCGCTCGCTCGCTCACTCACCGCCCTCCGCACAAACAGATTCTTCTTCCGCCACCCCCTCCTGCAGTCCTTCCGCTGGTACTGGCGCATCGAGCCCGACGTGCACTTCCACTGCGACGTCAACCGTTCCTCTTCATGCAGGACCGGGGGAAGGTGTATGGTGCGTTTGTTGCCTGTTTTTTTGTCGGTTTGGGTTTGTAGAGATGGGGAGACGGGGGGGATGGGGGGCGGGGTTGGGAGAGGGGGAGGAGGGGTGGTCGTATACGGGGCGATCGACGGCGTGCGTCCCGTGCATGGCCACAGACAGATTCGGATCTTCGCTCTCGGAGTGGGATACGAGGTGCAAGGAAGCGCCCACGTCCTTCCTCCTTCCTCGTATGGGTGAGGTCGTAGGAAGATGTGGATGCCCCATGTTTTGTGTTAGGACGGAGGAGCAGCGAGGGCGGGGACGAGTGTCGAGCGGCGTGTTGCTGTTCGACGGGTTGCGTGGATTCAGTGGGTGTGCGCGGGGTGCGGGCTGTGTGCAGCGGCGTGCTTGACGGAGAGCGGATGCGGTTGTGCGCGGTCCAGGAATGGGTGTGTGGCGGGGCGCGGGGTGCGGGGTGCGGGTCCCGGTGCGGGCGCAGCGCGCAGAGGCAAAACAGGCGAGCGCTGCTGGGGCGCGACGCAGAACGCAAGTGGGGATTGGCGCGGCGTTCCTTCTTTTGGCGCAGCGGGAGGGGTATATATGATGCTTCGGGACTACGCAGCGTTGGCGTTGGCTGAATTGAGTAAGCAAACGCTGGATATGTGCGTATGGAGGACGCCGCGTGGTCGTTGCGCGTTACTTATCGGGTTCGTGGTTCGTGGGGGGGAGGACGCGCTGCTCGCGGGCCACGTGGCGGGTGCTGATGGGGGGCACGGTGGCGGGCGGCGTGGGTGCGGGTGTGGGTGCGGCTCCGGTGCATGTGGCGGGAGGGTGCGGTGTCCAGCAGCTGCGAGGCGAGACGTTGGCGTGTGGTGGTGGGGGTCATGCACACACACCCAAGCTTGAAGGTTGACGCGGGGGAGTGGGTATGGTGTATGCAACGGGACGGATGCTGCGGGGCGCGGTGGGCGGGACGGGTCGTGAAGGAACGCTCGCGTGCATGCCATGCCTTCGAGGGATGTGTGTGCGTGGGTCGAGTGCAAGTGGGTCCAGGCCATATGTGCGCTCCATTTCCATTTCGAGGACGTGGGACGGAGAGCGCGTCGGGAATCCTTGCGCGTTCACTTTACTTTCGTCACCGATAGTCGTAGTGCGGGAGTGAACCTGGTTTTGGCTGCTCGTCGCTCCCCGACTCACCTGTGTCGTTTTTACTTTACACACCCCAGCACGATTTGACCACGTCTGCGACTCGGTCTTCGCCCCCTTCGAGCGAGTTATAGCGCCGGGGCGAGCTAGTCCGCGTCGCTTCTTCTACTCTACCTTCGCCTTCTCTTTTGTTCTTCCCTTCCTTTCCCTCTCCTCTCAAAGAGTATTATTTC